ATTAACCAGTACTGAGCCAAAGGAAAAGTGATATAAATACAATAAACAGAATAAAGAACAGTAATAAAACAGCCAGTGTGAAAGGAGCTCAGGAGATGTGCTGTGAGAGGTGTGGATATCTGTACGTATGGATGGTCAAGTAGACCTGCACTATAAAATACACTATAAATCTCTTATATACAGAATATTACAGAGATATAAACACTGTAAGAATGACTTATCCAGCAGTGCAGATGAGCATTATGCTGCAGGAGGAGCTACACTGTAGTACAGTAAGGAGGTTTGATGGTTTAGTTTAGTGTAAAGTGTGAGTTGTTCTCTGCTGAGCTCTCTTGGTGATGGAGACCGTGTTCCTCTCCCACTTCAGATTCCTGGATATGGAGGGGCTCAGGAACTTGAGTGACTCCACAGTGGAAACCACAGAGCTGTTGATGTTGAGGTGGGGTAGGGAGGGGGGCTGTGCCTGACGTCCACGATCATCTCCACCGTCTTTTCTGTGTTCAGAAGCGGGTGGTGGTTGTTGCTGCACCAGGAGACCAGTTGCTCGAGTTCCTGTCTGTGAGGCCCAGTGTCATCTCCAAACTTCAGGATCTTCACAGCTGGTTCCTTAGAGACACAGTCATTGGTGTAGAGGCTGAGGAGAAGGAGTGAGGGCACACAGCCTTGTGGTGCTCCAGTACTGAGGGTCCGGGGGTCTGAAGTGTGCTTTCCTAGCCACACCTGCTGTTTCCTGTTTGTCAGGAAGTCCTTGACCTGCAGGTGGGATCTGGTACAGACAGCTGGGCACTGTGGTGCTGAAAGCCACGATCAGGACTTCCTGTATATTTTGTATAATTTCACTGTCTGGTGTCACAGGAACATCTTAAACCTTTAGTCTCCAACCAGCTCCGCACAGCCTCACACTGCTTTATTTGATTTGACTTAACTTTAATATGACTTTTGGTGTGTTTTAACTGTCTGAGCTGCTGTTTTACTTTTACTTCTTTACTTTTTACCTGACTCCTCACATGACTTCGCGCTCCTATCAGTGCACTAGATCTCCGGAGTACTAATGTTGGTCACCTGAGTTACTGGTCACATGACGTACTTAGTTTAGTTTATAAGCCCGGGCTTTAGCAGAGGATAGTTGTGAGGTATTGTATCCATTTGTGATCTACTGAGCGGTCATTTCATTGTTTGGATTTTGTGTATGACCTTTGCCTTTCGTTTTTTGACTCTGCCTTTTTTCTGTGCCCTCGGGATTTGTTTGCCATTTCTTCTGATTACTGTGTTTTGACCTTTTGCCCTTTTTCCCTTTTTGGACTTGGTGCACTGTGTGATGTCTGTCTGTATTTTCCATGCCTTTTGGATTTGACCCCTGCCTGCTTTGTGACGCCGACTCTGGACTGTGATTCTCTCAGTAAAGCCTCAGTTGTGTTTCACACCTGCGAGCGTCTGAATCTGGTTGGCACGTTACAGTGAGGTTCACCCTCAGTGTATTCTGAGTTTAAATAAAGGTTGATTGATTGATTGAAGAAACCTTTCTGTAGAATGAAATCCAGCACCCAGGAGTGTCAGTGAGGGAAAGATGATCTGACTCTGCTGATTTTGTGGCTCCATTGCAGGTGGAACTGTGAGCAGTGTTTTCAGCTGGTCAGGTCGGAACAGATTGTCCCTGGTAGGAACTTCTTTTCCTCGGCTCGTGTCTGGAGGAATTCTTCCTGTAACGTCTCCCTCCCATATGAAAAAAACATAATGTTTCGTATAAACTTAGCGAGTTTATTTCTTACCCAACTCACACACAACTTAGTACATAACACAGTTCTCTGTTCTGTACATGTTCATCACAAATCAGAGTCTTTTCTTGTGTGATTATGGCCACAATCGAAAAAACACTTCATATAAGGGACTCAAGCTAATTCATGTATGAATATTTTAAAGGATGTGTATTAGCATATGAATTTATTAATAAATTCATATTTTTTAATGATTTTCATTTGATGAAAGATGTAGGATTTTTCTGTAATTTCCATGTTTTCCATAAACTTTTTACAGTGAATGTTTTGAACATGTTTTAAACATGAAAGATCAGATTTTTATTTATTTTACATGTACATTAGAATTTCATCATTTTGTGTATAAAAAGCTACATCACAAAGACGCAGGGAGAAAAAGCTTCAGCTAGTGTTTATTATAGTGGTGTCCAGCTTAAGGTCACAATAACAGTTAAAAATCCTTCCTTCCTCCAAAAGCAGTCGTTTCTCAGACAAACTGTAATCCACCTTTTCATGTCTAATAACAGTCCATCCTAAAATGACTGTAACTCCATGAAGGTCAGTGAATAGATTTCTGAAATTACACCATCAGCACAATTTAATTTAGCACAGATTTGAATCGTCAAACAAGGAACTGGAAGCTACTAGAAATGCTGGAGTAGCTACAGTGCAGCAATAGAAACACTGACTGATTCAAATACAGTCAGACCAGCTTCATTCACACCACAGAGATAATAAATACATTAAAATAACTAAAATAACTAACCGGCATGTATTTTACAGTTAAACAAGTCATATGACTTTATTTAAAGAGCCAAAACAGAATATACTGAACGATAACAAACTGAATCACTTTCCAGGGAGGAACACTTTACTGGAAGAGAGAAAACTAGGAAGCTTTAAAATAGGGCTGCAGCAAACGACTGATTTGATAGTGGAATAATCTATCGATTACTGAAACGAATAATCAGTTATTCAGATTATGAATCACTACATTACCAAATAACTAGGAGTAGAACAATATGATGGTTCTGGATTGACCTTATATTTAATGGTGACTGTTTCTTGTGAAGAAACAGTTTTTACTGCAGGAGTCTGAGTCACAGTCACCTGAATACTGGATCCTGAGAGAAATGAAGATGAATTAAAAAGACAAAATGAAGTAAAAGTTTATGTAGAATGTGAAATGAAAAACATACATACAAAAATACATATTTATATAGAAATAAACAAGTGCTTTCACTGTTTAGCCTTTAATTAGTGATGACCATAACTCCACTGACCCAGTTACTGACACAATCTGATTTTCTGCAGTTATCAGATTCTTAAGTGTAAACACACTGAACCAGTTACTGACTCAGTCTGATTTTCTGCAGTTATCAGACTCTTAAGTGCATGTAAACCCCCCAGAGCCCCCTACTTTTAGCTCACTCTTCACGAGGCAGTGTGTTTGTTCAGAAACTTTACTTTATTCCCAAAAATAACTATAAGCCCCACAGTATTTTACTGAAGTACATGTACTTAAAAGGTCAGTAGTTACTTCACATCTCTGATCAGCGATTGGTCAAAGTTAATCCTGATTAACAATCTGAAGTGTGATTTTGTCGTTAAATGGCCCAAATTCTACATAATTCATTTCTACACAATCATTTTTCAGGATCTCTTTATCCCCTTACAGTTAAACTGCTGTAGGCTGAATATGTGGAGACATGAATGTATTACTTTTCATGACAAACAATGGATCCCAAACAATCTGGTTTCTGGCTTCTTTTCCATATTTGGACAGTTTGGACTGCTGGAGCTTTGAAACGGCTCTTTAAATAAATGACGGCTCTAATAAACCCTGAATTCTCTCAGCAGGTTATTCAATAAAATATCTGAAAATGGATTACAGTAACAACGAAGAACAAAGAGGCTGAAAGATATTTTTCATATTTTATTGATTTTTTTGTTGATGCTCTTGTTTGTGTGTGTGTGTGTGTGTGTGTGAGTGTGAGTGTGTGTGAGTGTGTGTGTGTGTGTGTGTGAGAGAGAGATTTCAGTATGATTGAAATGAAACTGATGATGAGTGAAACTTCTTTTTTTCAGTGTGTGTTTGTGTGTGTCATTCTGTGTATGAGTGTCATTGTGCGAGTGTTTCAGTGGTGTGTGTGTGTTTCAGTGGTGCGTGCGAGTGTTTCGGTGGTGTACGCGAGTGTTTCGGTGGTGCGCGCGAGTGTTTCAGTGGCATGTGCGAGTGTTTTGTTGGTGCGTGCGAGTGTTTCAGAGGTGCGTCTGAGTATTTCGGTGGTGCGTGCGAGTGTTTCAGTGGCATGTGCGAGTGTTTTGTTGGTGCGTGCGAGTGATTCGGTAGTGTGTGTGAGTGTTTTGTTGGTGTGTCTGTGTTTCTGTGGTGTGTCCATGTTTTGGTGGCACGTCCAAGTGTTTCGGTGGTGCGTGCGAGTGTTTCAGAGGTGTGTGCGAGTGTTTCGGTGGTGCGCGCGAGTGTTTCGGTGGTGTGTGAGAGTGTTTCGGTGGCATGTGCGAGTGTTTTGTTGGTGCGTGCGAGTGTTTCCCTGGTGCACGCGAGTGGGTGCACGCGAGTGTTTCGGTGGTGCGTATGAGTGTTTTGGTGGTGCGTGCGAGTGTTTCGTTGGTGTGTGTGAGTGTTTTGGTGGTGTGTATGAGTGTTTTGGTGGTGTGTATGAGTGTTTTGGTGGTATGTGCGAATGTTTGATTGGTGCGTGCGAGTGTTTCAGTGGTGCGTGCGAGTTTGTCGGTGGTGTATGCGAGTGTTTTGGTGGTGCGTGCGAGTGTTTTCTTGGTGTGTGCGAGTGTTTCGATGGTGTGAGTGTTTTGTTGGTGTGTACGAGTGTTTCAGTGGTGTGTACGAGTGTTTTGTTGGTGCGTGCGAGTGTTTCAGTGGTGTGTACGAGTGTTTCAGTGGTGTGTACGAGTGTTTCAGTGGTGTGTGTGAGTGTTTCAGTGGTGCGTGCGAGTGTTTCAGTGGTGTGTGCGAGTGTTTCAGTGGTGTGTGTGAGTGTTTCAGTGGTGTTTACGAGTGTTTTGTTGGTGTGTCTGTGTTTCTGTGGTGCGTGCGAGTGTTTCAGTGTTGTGTACGAGTGTTTCAGTGGTGTGTGTGAGTGTTTCAGTGGTGTTTACGAGTGTTTTGTTGGTGTGTCTGTGTTTCAGTGGTGTGGTTCTTCTTCCACTGTCTGTTTGTGTTTCTCTGGTTGTTCATTTCCTGTCCCTCTCAGGTTTTCTCTCTCTCTCTCTCAGGGTTTCTGTCTCTCTCTCAGGTTCTCTCTGTCTCCCTCAGGTTCTCTCTATCGATCGTCATGCTGCCACCAATGGGGTCTCCTCACTCTCCGTTCTCCTCCACGTCTCTCTCTTCCTCCGTTCCTCTCTGTCCGTGGAGGAGTGGACTCCACTCTAGGATCTTCTCTGGTTCTTCTCTCTCTCTCTCCTGTCCGCAATGCTGTGAAGGAGTCGGTCACTGCAGTAGATCTTCTATCTGTCTGTTCCTGATCTCGTCTGGGACGGAACACCTGCCTGCGTTCATCATCCCAGTTCCTTCTGTTGTCCTTCTGTCCAGAAGAACCTCTTGGAACAACGACGTGTTGGGTTCTCTATATAAAACAGGTTTAATAGTTTAGGGACCATGACTAGGACTAAAAGATCCACAGATGATTGACTATTACTAGAACTAAAAGATCCATAGTTTAGGGAACATGAATAGGCCTAAAATATCAATAGTTTAGGGACCATGATTAGGACTAAAAGATCTGCAGTTTAGGGACCAGGACTGAGGCTAAAAGATCCATAAAATAGACACCATGACTAGGAGTAGCAGATGTACTCTGTACCTGTCCTCTTTTCCAGTGAGGATGTTCTCTCGGCTCTCCATGTTCCTCTGTCTTCCTTTGCTGATAAGGAAGAGTTTTGGGTCTCAGGGTCTCTGGTGGGGTCTTTTTCTCTTCTAGATCATTTCTGCATTGACCCCTGAGCCCCTCTGCTCCTCCTCTTTGTGCAGATACTCGGCTGTCATTTCGGTCAGATCTTCTCTCCGTCTGTTCCTGCACTCGTCTGGGGTGGAACACCTGCCTGCGTTCGTCACCCCAGTTCTTTCTGTTGTCCCTCTGTCCAGAAGAACGTCTCTCAGAAAAGCCTTGTTGGGTTCTCTGTATAAAAACACATTTCATAGTTTAGAGACCAGGATTAGGACTAAAAGATACATCGGTTGGGGACCATGACTAGGACTAAAAGCTGTACCTGTACCTGTTCTCTTTTCCAGTGAGGATGTTCTCTCTTATCCTCGTGTCTCTCCATCGTCCTCTGCTGAGGAGGATGTGTTTTGGGTCTCGGGGTCTCTGGTGGGGTCTTTCTCTCTTCTTGATCATTTCTGCATTGACCCCTGAGCCCCTCTGCTCCTGTTCTGTGAGCAGATACTCTGATCTCATTCTTGTCACCGTCTTGTGGATTGTTGTCTCTTTCGTAGCCGATCCTGCGTCCTTTTCCTCTCGTTCCTCTCCTGATGTTTCTCTTTTTGTTCTCAGCATCTTCCTCAGGAGGCTCTTTCTTCTTTATATCCATTTCGTCTAGAGAACACAATTAGATTAATTAGTAATCAAGCTTTGTCCAATAGTCTGTCCTGGAGCTCAGAAATAGTAGCCGGATAGCAGCTTCCTCCAGCTGGATCTCCAGGAGCTCACTGGCTTCAGCTTTGTCCTCAGCTTTGCTCACTAGATTGTCTTAAATGAATTCAGGCAGATTAGAGCTCATACTAAGCTTTTATATTCACTAAATGTGTTATTGTCTTCATGAGGTCTGTTCATTTCTTTAATTACCCAGATGTTTCTCCAGATGTTCCTCCTGAGTGTCATCCTGGTTTATGTCCATGGGTTCATTGGTGGCTTCTGACTCCTCAGTGTCCTCCAGGTGGGTGCTCACAAGTTCTGTGGTGGCTTCTGCCTCGGCTTCATCCACCACCATCATCATCGTCGTCATCATCGTCTCATTTTCTGCTTTTATGAAAATACAGTCAGTTTTCCAGCTTATTCAGTTTTCATTATTATTATTTATTTCCTTTACTCACCCAGAGGCTGGACACTTGCTGAAACCTCTTCCTCCAGCTGGATGTCCAGGAGCTCACTGACGGCTTTAGCTTCATCATCATTGGAGCTCACTAGATGATCTTGAGTGAATTCAGACAGATTAGAGCTCATATTAATCTGAATTCCTGTTTTTATGCAACTAAATATGTTATTATCATTGTGCTGTTTGTTCATGAACTGTTATTGACTAATTTGAATTATTCAGTATCCACAATGATTTATTCAGTATCCATTATGAATTATTCAGTATACACTATGAATTATTCAGTATCCATTATGAATTATTCAGTATGCACTATGAATTATTCAGTATACACTATGGATTCATAGTCACTAATGTGAATTATTCAGTATCTACAATGAATTATTCACTTTCCACTATGAATTATTCAGTGTCTTTTATGAACTTTAGTGATTAATGTTAATTATTCAGTATCCACTATGATTTTAGTGACTATTTTGAATTATTCAGTACCTGATATGAATTTTTAGTGACTAGTTTGAATTATTCATTCATTTTTTTTACTCACCCAGATGTTTCTCCAGAGGTTTCTCCTCAGTGTCATCCAGGTTTATGTCCATGGGTTCGTTGTTGGATTCTGACTGCTCAGTGTCCTCCAGGTGGGTGCTCACGAGCTCCTTGGTGGCTTCTGCCTCGGCTTCATCCACCACCATCATCATCGTCGTCATCATCGTCTCATTTTCTGCTTTTATGAAAATACAGTCAGTTTTCCAGCTTATTCAGTTTTCATTATTATTATTTATTTCCTTTACTCACCCAGAGGCTGGACACTCTCTGAGACCTCTTCCTCCAGCTGGACCTCCAGGAGCTCTCTGATGGCTTCAGCTTCATCATCACTGGAGCTCACTAGATGATCTTGAATCAGATTAGAGCTCATATTAATCTGAATTCCTGCTTTATATTCACTAAATGTTTTATTATCTTCATGCTGTCTGTTCATTTCTTTACTCACCCAGATGTTTCTCCAGAGGTTCCTTCTCAGTCTCGTTCAGGTCGATGTCCATGAGTGCTTCGATGGCTTCAGCCTCTGCCTCATCAGCCATCATCATCATCATCTTCATCTCCTCCTCAGCTTCATCATGAATAAATACAGTCAGGTTTTCCAGCTGTGTCGTTTTCCTGATATCAGGTATTGATTTCCTTTCCTCACCTGGATCTGTGCTGTGAGGTTCAGCATCTTCTAGGAGAACCTCTGTCAGATCTCTAACGGCCTCAGACTCAGCGCTCAGCAGACTCTTCACTGGTTCTCCTGCAGCGAGAACCGATTTCCAGTTAAACATGTTGGTCTTTACAGTGTTTGTGTGGAGAGAGAATGTTCAGGTAGGTGATGTGGAGATGATGTGGTGCTGGTAGGTGATGATGCTCATGGTGATGTTTGGTGGTTTAATCATCATCACCAGCTGTTTTATTGAGTCCTATGAGCTTTTTTTCTATTTGAATAATTTGACTCACTGAAAGATTCAATTTCTCCTCATTTTCAGTTGAAGATCAAACAGATCAACAACATTTTTTCAGTCTAAGACATATTTCCCAATATCTGCTATGAATTTCTCAGAATCTGCTATGAATATTCAATACCTCTAATTAATTATTCAGCAGCTCCTGTCAATTATTCTGTGATGATGAAATATTCAATATGTACTATAAATTATTCTGTATTCACTGTGAGTTTTTTCAGTGTCTACTATGAATTTATCAGTATCTATCATAAAATCCTCTATGAATTATTCAATATCTTCTATGATTTTTAGTAACTAATTTGAATTAATCAGCATCCACTATGAATTTTCACTGACTGATTAGAATTACTTAGTATCTACTTTGAATGATTAAGTATCCACTGTGAATTATTTAGTATATTTTATGAATTTTTAGTGACTAATTTGAATTATTCTGTTTCCATTTCTCAATATTTACTATGAATATTTAGTGACCACTATGAATTATTCTGTATCTACTATGAATATTTGGTGATTTCTCCTTTTATTCAGTGACTGTTATGAATATTATCTCATTAACTCACTCAGAAGCTGCTCCATGTTTGCCTCAACCTCATCCAGCAGCGTTTTCATGAGATGTTTTATGGTTTCCTCCATCTCTCCAGTGAGGTTCTCCTGTAGTGGAGGTGCCGTGTTCTCCAGCGTCTCAGCCGAAACACTGTCAAGGCTGCCGGACACGAGGCCTACTGGCAGGTCCAGAACATCGGCCTCTTCCTCCACCTTTGCTGGCTGCTGGTTTGTTTGGCTTTCTTCTGTTTCTTCTTTGTTCATGTTGTTCTTCCTCTCTTTCTTCCACTGAATCTTCCACCTTCCACTCCTCTCCTTCTTTCCTCTCTTTCTCTTCTTACTCTGCTCCTCCTTTCTCTCACGCTGTGTGTCTGCCTCGTCCTCATGGACTCGGCAGCACCAGAACCAGAGGCAGCTCATTGTAGCGGCTGTCCTCTTCGCGGCTCCACACAGAATGTTGTGAAACGTCAGTGTGACGGAATCATCTGTACCCTCACCTTTATGACTTCACACCCTGTGGCCTTTAGTCCTTTATGACATCAGAGAGCAACTTCAAACAGCATTCTACAGTCTGTTATGCTCACTGACCAATGAGGGACAGACTACAGTCAAGTGGACA